TATACATATATATATATACATATATATATATATAATTTTTTGAAAGGTTACTGGTGGATGCCAGCAACCATCTTGGAAGAGAACAATACAATCTGTTATAAGGCCTCCATTTGAAAATAGCGGATTTGATACTAGAATATAATAGCAACATGTAATCTGAAGATAACATGTAGTATTTAAGTGACCAAGTAATATTGGGGTAAAAGTTACTGAATGGTGTTGGGATAAAGTGAGAAAATTGTGCAGGATTAAAATATTCTAAGAGCTCAAATTACTTCATCAAAACATGTTTAAGTCACATTTTATCAACACAAATTGCACTGGTTTATTGAACATGAATAAAGTGTGTTAATTTAACTCAATTGTTTAAGTTGTTGCCAAAGCAAAACATCTGCGTGCAATCAATGTCCACTACTGAATCAAATTAATCCAACATATTTTTTTCAGTGTGCTGAGTCTCCACCAATAACCAGCAAAAGACACTGTCTGAAGCTGCATAGTACTGGGGGGCATCTGGGCTTATGGCATTGGCAGCTTGCACATTTGGAAAGGCACCATCAGTGCTGAAAGGTATAGAGCAACATATGCTCAACATGATGATGTAATAAAAGCTGAGAGTCTTTAGCCAAATACAGAAACTGTTAAGATATTCAAAAATGTGCTGTTGGTTTGTTAAAATTAAGATAAAAAATAAGGAAAAGAAACATTTTAACTGTGGAAATGAGCACTGCTCACACTCACCCCATACACCAGCTCTCCCACCATGCCATTCCACATCTTTGTTTCAGCGTCTCTGGCACCGTACTTGCCGTCACCTACTAGCTCAAGGCGGTACGTGAACCCGACGTGTTTGGCGATCTCTGCGGCGAGCTCGGCACAGTAACCTTCATATTTATCGTTTCCCCAAAACTGCTCGTGGTTCTTCTTTAGCATCATGTAGGGAGCTTCCTGTGAGGAGGCAGAAGTGTGAATGTCACTGCCACTCTACTCGAGTATGTTTAACTTAGATTATTTTACATTGTGCTTCTCTAGTAAAAAGTGCCTCTTCTTTTCTGAGGAAAATGAAAAAAACCCACAGCTGATAAGATGATATAAAGTCTGTGCAAACATCTTTACAGAGTGATGTTAAAGTTGAGTGTATGCTGACTGCAGTCAAGCAGCCAGAGCCTGAAGTTCAACAGGTAACAGGAGCAGTCAGAGATTTGTGACTGTGTGTGAGAACGTTACCTAATTTGCACAAAATACTTTACTTTTTCCAAACATAACAAGTAATATATTACTGCACTGTGTGAAATATTTGAACTAATCATCTTGCCTTCCCAAACTTACCAGGATGGTAGTGACAATGTAGGTTTTGTTCTGCACATTGTAAAACTCCTCCTGCATCGGCCTGTAGATGGCAGTGTTCACATAGCCTCTCTTCTCATTCCAGAAGCCGATCTGGACACAAAACAGCACCGTTGGACCACAACTCTGTACAACTATGTCATCATTACTGAGCCTCCTGCTTACCTTCCTGCTTATTTAACGTATTTGCTATGCTGATTTTGTGATTAATAAAATGTTTTTCATTTACATGTTTATTATGACACTTCAATACACTGTGGCCCATTTCACCTGAGAAAGTTTAGTAAAGTGGGACAGCAGATGGTAGTATTAGTGTGATATCACCTTCATGTGTAAAACAGCAGCACGGATCGTTTCTTCTTTATTAAATAATATTCTTTTAATTAATTATGAATGCTATTTATTTATTTTATTTAATTAAATAAGCTTTTAATTAATTTAAATAAAAAATCTCTTTCATTGTCACTGCTGTGTTAACTGTACTTTGCAGCAGTCACGATAAATATGAAACATGAGCTAAAAGAACAGAGGGTTGAAATCTAAAAGAAATCCCAGGGAGAATTTTGTGTGTATGAGTTGGGAAAACAGACTTTTGCATTTTTGCGTTTCCTTCCTCAACAAAATATATGAGTCACATCTCTGAACTCACTTTTACATTTCATGTCTGCATTTTGCTCAAGTTTTACGGGCCTTTTGAGTCATTTTGTTTAATTATAATTTTGTTATATTATGACTATATTTATTTCTTTGCATCGCTTGTGTTGGTTTGTATCAGGTTTGAGTACTGTTTTTTGTAATTTTGCATCCATTTGCTGTTGTTTTGTGCAATTTGGTGTCTTTTGGGTGTTGTACACTATAAAGTTCCAGGAGCCTCCGGCAATTATTGGAAACATTTATGCATTGGTTTCTTCCATAGCGCCCATCAAACTTTAAAATATCCCACTCTGATGTCTTGTAAACCACAAAGTAAGCAGGACTAAGCAGCTCATCACAATGATAAGTCATTGTGTGATGCACTGTTTGATGGAATTTAATAGAAAACTGAGAGCCGGCAGATTTCCGCAGCAAACAAACGCAGCAGAGGCTGATTTCACTGATTATCGCAGCTTTAATCTGAGGAGAGGGAGCTAATTACTGGAAGGAGCTGATGCAGTGAAAACCTGCTTAGTGCAATTCCACACAAAACCCGCCTGAACTGAACAAAACAACAAGCGGCGGGAGCAGCACCTTCCTGGGTCCAATGTGGCTGAGCTCCATCACAGTCAAAGTGTAGTTGGTTCGATGTCCGCGCTCATCGAACTGGACGTGACCCGTCAGCCCCTCCAGACGAACCTGTCAACACAAAGAAAAGCAAAGCAAAAATGAAAAACTGCAGGATTTCATAACCAGAAGAGCTCGGCAGCACTGATGGAGATAGCCCGTTATTTCTGCTTTTAACACTTACATTGATTTTAAATTCCTCTGTGTTTAAAGTGCTTCACGCTCCGTTTGTCTGACATGTTTTTCGATCTACAGACTAGGACATTTCTGGGACATTTCAGGACAAAACTTTCATTTTTCATTTCCTCTGAGCTGCTGGAGCAGCCTGAGGATCTGAGAACAGCTCGGAGTTAATATTTACTTTCTCAGAGGACCTAAAAATATTGGTGTTTTTAAAGAGGGAGTATTCTCCTCATTCCAACCTCCATATTTCTATACGTGATTTACAGTTCAAAATAATCCTTATTTATCTCCCTTTAAACTAACTTTTCTGATTGGCTGTTTTTCACAAACACAAGCTTTGAAGAGCAGGTGGGTGGGGCTTCTGTGGCAGCTGCTCCCTCTGGACCCACTCTCAGTTCTGCCTGTGTGCTGTTTATGCATACCTGCTGCAGGGCTCTCTGGATATCGATGCCCTGTCCCCACGGAGCGGGCGGGTTGGCCAGGCACTCCCCTGCGTTGCCCCGGCGAGAGATGTCGATCCGTTGCCTCCGCAGATTCTGGAATGCCGTTGCCATGATGCTGACACCATCATAGGTCAGAGCTCCTGTGTACTGAGTGGTCAGGCAGGAGGAAAGTGGTTAAAATCCTGATCCTGTTCACAGTTTTATTGGTGACACAATGAGACAAGATTTTGCTTTACATACACAGAAATGTGGGGTTTTTTGTACTTTCCTTAAATATATTCAAAATAGAAGTAGAATAGAAGAAACAAGTGGGAATAAAAGCAATGGGGCAGATGGAAAAGTATCTGTGAATGATAGTTTGTATTTGTGTCACTGCTGCTTTAGCCTGAACAACGCCTGTTAATTCCTTTTGCTTCAGGAGAGTGACGATCTTGAAGTGCAGCTACAAATGACCATTTATCTGTCCTCTGGGAAGCAGGGAAAGCTGTGATGAGAGCTAAAATAATTTCTTTCTCATCACTTAAGAAGAAAGAAGAAAACAAAAATGTTCAGGAATTAGAAAAAAACATCAAATCCTTAGAAAAAGCCTATGTGTCTCACCAAGATCAAGAAATTTTGAACAAAATACGCAAAACAAAACCAGAATGAAATGAAATTATTAATAAAAAGACTCAATTGTTAGTACAAAGACTTTGGTTCCAAAATTTTGAACACGGTAACAAATCCGGACAATTTCTAGCTAACCAGTTAAAAATCAATAAAGAAAAAACAACTATATGAGCTGTTAAAGATTTATCTGGGAATACAATATATGACCTTAAAAAAATTAATCAAAAATTTTAGGGATTTCTATGAAACTTTAAATACACCACAAATAACCCCATCTACAAACGAAATTGATCAATTTCTCGACAACGTAACTCTTCGAAAATTATTAGATACCCAAGCAATGGCACTGGATTCGCCACTGACGCCAGGTGAACTCCAGGAAGCTCTGATAAGTATGCCCAATATAAGGCTCCAAGTCCAGACGGCTTTCCTGCAGAATTTTACAAAGAATTCTGGACGATTCTGGCACCAGTTTTTCACAGAATGTTGGAGGAAATCAAAGAAATTGGCAGACTACCACCAAATATGAACTCTGCAAATATTAGTCTCTTAGTAAAACCAGGCAAAGACCCTGTATTTCCTTCAAGCTATCGTCCAATATCCCTTATAAATGTAGACCTTAAAATAATCTGCAAAGCTCTCTCAAAGAAATTAGAGAAAATAACCCCCCTCTTAATTCATCCTGACCAAACTGGTTTCATAAAAGGTAGGCACTCATCAACAAACACATGTAGATTACTTAATTTAATAGACTACTCATGCAGTAAAAACATTGAAACCATAATATTGTCTCTTGATGCAGAAAAAGCATTTGACAGAGTTAACTGGAAATTTCTATTTGTAACTTTACACAAATTTGGTTTTGGAAACTCTTTCATAAGCTGGTTAAAAATACGATATAATTCCCCAACAGCTTGTGTCAGAACAAATGACCAAACATCCTCCAGCTTCTGTCTCCTGAGGGGCACCTGGCAGGGATGCCCACTCTCCCCTTCACTGTTTGCAATTTTTATTGAGCCACTAGCAGCAGCAATTAGAAAGGCTACAACAAGTACGGGCATAAAATGTAAGAATGTAGAACATAAAATCAGTCTCTATGCTGATGATGTGTTACTTTTTCTCCAAAACTCACAAACCAATCTCTCTGGGGTAACTGCATTGATAAACTCTTTCTCAAGAGTCTCAGATTACTCAATTAACTGGTCAAAATCTACAGTTCTTCTGAGTATTTGCTCCTTCTATAATTCTTCATCTACCCGACTGCAATCTGGAAATATTAAATATTTAGGTATCAATATCTCTCCTAAGCTTGCAGAATTAACTAAATTAAACCACATCCCACTTTTAAAGACAGTAGAAGGCGAACTAGCTAGATGGAAATCTCTACCCATGTCACTCATGGGAAGGGTCGCCTCTATAAAAATGATGGTCTTGCCAAAAATAAACGATTTTACAGCCCTATGCATTGCCAAGAAAACAGTCCTCATTAACTGGAAAAATAAAAATAATCTTAATTCTAGCCAATATAAAAACCCTCTGATAGATCACATTAGTCTTGAGACAGCCTCTGCCATCACATTTGATCAATCCCTCTGGGCTCCTTTGATTGGCTTCATCACCTAGTGGGGGTGGGGGTGGGGGGGTCATAGTTTGGTCCTGCCTTCTCTAGTGTGGTTGATATGGGGGTAGGGAAGGCCTTAGGGCGTCTGGGGATTCTCTAGGGACGTTTTCCCAGGAGGGCCTAACGCGGGGGTTGTGGCCATGACCTGGTTAGGGGCTCTGGTGGCGAGAGGGTCTGTGCTGGCGGACGTTGGTTACTGGCCTGGTAGCCTGGCTGCCCCAGGGTGGGTCCGGGATGGGCGTGGAGGCTATTGTCTTGTGTAGTCTGGGAGAAGATTGGATGATGGGGTGGGTGCAGTTTTCTCTCTGGTGGGGTCGGGTGGGCTGCCCCGGACTCTGTGGGGCCGGGTGGTGCTGCTGCTGTGGGCCCCGGTCCGGATGGGCCTGGGCCCCCTTGCCCTGGTGGGTTCCAGAGTGTGGGGGTGCCTACTGGGGTCACTGGGAGAGCTGGCCCCAGAGAGGGGCCGCTTGCCCCTCCTTTTCTTCCCTCCCCATCCTCAGCTGCCTCACTCTGCCTCACTCTTCCCGCTCCACCACACCCACACACAGGCAGGGCTTGGGGTGCAGGTGTCTCACCAGGGTGCAGGGGAGGTACTCTCCTTCTGTCCCCTTCTGGCTGCCTGTGCCTCAATTTAATTCCGTAACCTAGACACCTAGACATTACTCATATTCTCATAACACATACATATAGGGCTTTGAGGGTGGGCACGTTATACAGTGTCCAGAGGATGGTCTTTGTATTCAAACCCACATTTGGCGCTGGTGCCCTACCCTCAATTTTAAATGCATATAGACATTAAGGGTTTTCGGGAGGAGCCGTGCTGCTCTCTGGCTGGAAGCACCATGCCCTCCTGTGTTTTAAATGCACTTTAGAACAGCACGCAGCAACACTACATATGAGCGGGCGGAGGGAGGTATGGGGTCTTCACTCACCCCCGTTTTGTTAGCCGTCGGGGCTGGGGGGCTGGGTGGAGGTGCTCTGGGAGCAGGGGTATCTGGACCTGGGATTTAGAGTATGTTTGGGGAGTGTGAATGTGTGTACAGTGTCTATTTGTGTCTGTCTCCACATCGGGTGAGTGCAAAGTATTTGTTTGTGTATATGGGGGTGGGAATACACGTTTATGTCCGCGTGCACCTGTTTGTCTGTGTCTATATGTCAGCTTGGGTCTTAGACTCCACCTCGCTGGGAACATCTCAGGCTCTCCAAAGTACGGAGGTCTATCTCCCCTCACCACACTCCCCCTGCCAGTGGCTGATGCCCTCAGACGTTGGTGTGTTGGTGGTTCTTGGTGTCTGGGGCTGGGCACTCATGTATGTACTGACTCACTCCTGGTGGCCGATTGGCGGGACCTGGCGCCTGTGGCCCGGCAAGGCCCCTTCCGGGGGGTGGGGTGCCCTCAGGCCTCTGGGCCTGCTGGCTGCCAGCACAGCCCGCGGGCACGTCACTGCAACCCCCTCTGGCCTCTGCTCTGTGGCTGCTGGTTGACCTTTCGTTTGAGGCTCTCCTCAGCTCTTCCCAGGAGGGTGGCACAGTTGCCCCCCTGGTGGTCCTCCTTGGGTCCTCGTACTCTGGGGCCTCTGGATGTCTGGGGCCTGGATCTCCTCCATACCTGCTTCATGCCCTGGGGGACGGGGCTATGACTCCCCAGACCCCTAGCAGATCGTTACATGGAGAAACCTTTGGAATACAAGCGTGCTGATCCACACAGGTGTACACAGACACAAACTACACCTTTCTTGGCTGCTACCTCAAAGCACATTGTGCGCTGTCGATCTTGTGTGCTGCACAATAACATGTAATATTCAGTATCTACTGTTAGCTAGTTTATTGTGATGGTGTTGTATTTATTATGTTGCTCTTTTTTGTTTGTTTTCTCTTCTGTTTTTTCTTATCTCCATACAGGTGATCCAGGTGTTTTTTCTTTCTTCCCCCTTTATCACCGTCTCTTCTCTCCTCCTCTATTTTTCTTTCTCTCCCTCTCTTTCTTTCATTCTTTCTCCCTGTCCAATCCCCCAGTCATGTCTGTCCCATCTATAACAACCGAGAATCAAATAAAAGAAATACTTAAAATAAAGTATTTAATAAAAATAATGGACCAATATGGCCATGATGATCCAATCGGTAAAGTAAATCCACTTGGCATCTTTCTTGACCTTCAGACAACAATTCTGATGGCTAAAGATCCAAACAGGACAGGCAAAAAAACAAAACAAAAAAACCCAAACCCAAACGACCATTTATATCACACCTGTAAAAAAATGTCAGAACAACAATGTCAGGATCATTTATACTGGGAGGATACAATTCAGATTTCCTCACAAAGAAAAAGTATGAAAACACTGTGTGTGTGTGTGTGTGTGTGTGTGTGTGTGTGTGTGTGTGTGTGTGTGTGTGTGTGTGTACCTTGAGCCTCCTGCGAGCCACTTTGAGGTCTTTGTTGTCGAAGTCCAGCCAGTTCTGATTGATCTTCTGCACAGCGGGATCCGACCGATTCACCAGTTGGAAGCCGGTCACGTTCGGTCCGAGCTTCTGAAATTCTGTGACGTTCAGGTCCAAGAAGCCCTAACACACACACACACACACACACACACACACACACACACACACACACACACACACACACACACACACACACACAAAGGAAAGCAACAGGTTTCACTGCCTGAACTTTCACTGCATCCCATAAAACCCTGTCTTCGGTGTAGATAAACAATGACATGCACACTTTGGTGATGAAAAATGACGTCATTGTCTGGAAGTTAAAAGAAAGCCTGCATATTTCCAAATGTACTTGGAAATTTCTAGCTCTTTAAACTTATGAACTGAAATGCTGCAGTTTATTTGGAAACAGCTCCACATGCAGACAACAGCGAGCGCTTTCACATCTCTGGAAAGTTTGTGCAAACTGTTAAAGTCATCTGCATACGTCCTTAACCTCAGCCCTGTGTGTGGGGAAGCTGAGCCTGAACTCACCAGATTGGCAAGGATGTAGTGGTAGTTCTTCAAGTTCCTCTTCTGAGCAGCAATCTGAGCAGGAGCGAGAGGCACAGTAAATGATATGCTAATTACATTTTCCTGATGTTTCTAATGATGATAAAAAGCACCAATCACACATTCATCACAATCATCGCCATGTGTGTGTGTGTCCTCTCAAACAGCTGCTAATTGGAAGACTCGGCTGCTCTTTGAGGAATTAATTGCCCATCTTTGCCATCAGTTGGAGCTGGAAAGAAAGCAAGAAGCTCTCCTCAGATTCATGACTCCACTGACAGACGACAGGAAGGAAGGAAGATGGAGAGAAAGGAGAAAGTTTATGAAGAGGAGGAGCAGGTGTTGTTTGACGCCTTCCTCTCAGGTCCGGCTTTTAATGAGCGGCAGTCGAAGAGCGTTCGCGAACAGCTGCTCTGCATCACTGGGCACTTCTGGAGGAGGAAGGGAGGAGAACGCTGCTGAAGCGTCCCTCCTCTTAAACCTCCTCCTCTCCTTTTGCTTCCAGCCAACACTTCATTCCTCTGGTTTCTTTTGGTGTTCATTCACAGCAAACACATTCAGCTGATAATAATTTTCATATTGTGATCAAACACTTAACAGTTGTTATAATAAATGTGTACAAAACAGTGAAAGATGCACGTTGCAGTTTTACTCAGTCAAAGAATTGAATATCGAACAGCAACAGCAACACTGTCACCAAAACCTGCAGTTCATCTGATGGCCACAGTCCCCATAGTCTCACCTGTTTAAACTCTTGTACTAGAGTCCCTGACCTGGACCCGTGGACCATATCTGGAGCTTTTGTAATGCAGTTATCTGCTGTATAGTTAGTGGCACTAACACACCAGGTTTATCCTTGCTTTGCTTGGAACTTTGCTCTGATTAGCAGAAACATGCATCTGTTAACTGAGCAGGAGCTAACTTAGCCTTCTGTGTGAGCTGCTTTAGTTTAAATGATACGAGTGTTCAGAAAAATCCATCACTAGATGAGGAGAAAGGAGAAGAAAATATGACATTTTCCTGAGTTAGTAGGAGTGAAAAGTGCTTTTCTGCCTGTTTAGATTTATGGCCTCAGCTCAGAGTTTTTCTCGGTTGTAAAGAAGGTTAGCGTTGGCTGCTCAGCTTTGTACTGGGAACACAACACATTACCACACCTGACCTGGACGCACATTAGTGAACACCTTCATAACTTCTTAGTATGAAGTTGAGATGATTTTTAACTGGTTTTTACTCAGGTATAACGATATAACATACAGGCTGTCTGGACTTAAAAAATTATTTTTCAGGAGTAACTTGTTTGTTCTCTCATGTCCAAAATTGTTTTTGAATTATGTTATTGTAAAGTTCACATAATATGACCCTGTCTGTGTGCAGACAGCAGTACACTCTGCATGTTTTGTGCGACTGTGATACCAAAGATCTCCCTAAAGCTCGAGCACGAGTTACGGTCATTTACAGGGTGCTGGTGCAGTGGGCCCACAGCTGGACCACAAGCTTGTGAAAGCTGTCAGTGTTTTGTTGTTGTTGTTATTATTATTTTTGTCACCTTGTCATTTATTGATTTATCAGTCCCAGTCGGACCGTTATGATCTCCTGACTTTTGCCACGTCATGGAGCTGAAAGAAAATGGATTTTGTTTATCTGGATGTTGAGTTTTCAGTCGTTGTTATGTGACACATCAGTATCAGCTGCAGTCACTGGTTTCTCCCACTGAAAACTCTGCGTCCACATGATTAGAATCAACTTTCTGTAAAAATCAGTCTTCCATCTGAAGTCACCGACGTCATCCACTGGAAACTTTCACCCCATCCAGCTGGACTAAATGAACCAATTTGAGCCAAAGCAAACGCCACCTGATCATTTCAGCCAAACTAAACGGTGATGCTGAAGCCAATGGCTTCATTTCACAGATCCAACAAGCCACCTGATACTTGAGTCTCGTTCAGCCAGCTGGAGCTCAGCAGAAAGAGGAATTTCCCAAATGACAGCTGGTTTCTGGCCAGAGTTCCCACTGAGCACCTTTGGCTTCTTGTCTCTCTCCTGCTGCCCTCTTTCATTCCTCTCTTACAAACTGATCTCAGCTGATACCAAACGTTCCTTCTTCCTGAATTTTGAAGTGTCTCTCTGAAATCAAAGTGTTCCACCAAAATCTGGACAGTAAAGCAGCTGCAGCTGAAGACACTGAGCACGAAATCCAGCTGCTCTGAACAATGAGAGGCTCAAACAGAACAACTCTGTGTTTGTGGGGTCTGTGATAAACATGTATGCATGAAAAGATTATAAAACAACATAAGGACAACAACATAAGCCACTGACTTCCTGCTTCATAGTTTTGTTCTTTTACTCTGCCGGAGTAGCTCTGCGTGAATCACAGCCCAAAGCAATCTTTATATATCTCACACTGATTGGCTGCCTCTTGTAAACACAAAGCTCAAAGAGGAGCTGGTTGGGATCAGAGATGACCATATAAGGATTTCCATCCACATGACATCACAGACATTCACGACTGATGAGTTTATAAAACACTCGTTCCATAAAACCAATGAGAAATAATTAACAGGAAAACACAAAGAAATACAACCACAATTAACAGCATCATCATCATCATCATCATCATCATCATCATCATCATCATCCCTGTGGATAATAAAGCATCATGTCAATACCCTCAGAGTTATTTATTATCTTTGAGGGAACAATTAGTAAAAAATAAACAGACTGATTAATATAAAATGTGCTTGGTGTTATAACCAGCTCTGAGCTTCAGTATTATGGGATGTATCATAACTGCACTAGTGTAACGTCGCTGAAGTAGAGGAACACACGTCGGTTGTCTTTGACTTCTTTTTTGATAAATCACTGCAGGAAACTTCAAAAAGTCCATTTTAGGTAAAACCTCGATCACCATGTCAGAGAGAGAGCTGCTTGAAGCAAGTCAGAACATAAGAAGCTCACGTTCTAGCTGTGAGTCATTTTCTAAAATACCAGCCTTCGGTGCTTGTTTGAGAACTTTTCCAGTCTGATAGAGTGAAGTTTTTATCCTGCCAGCTGGGACCTGGGCCTGCTTCTGTCACCAGACTGTGAATGATGATGATCTTCGTATATAACGCCCGTCTTTCTATAGTACCAGGAAAATGACAGTGCAGAATCTGTCTGCTACATTACATTTAGAGGGATATCTTTGTCCTTATAATGTAATATTGATTTGTTTGCAGGTTTTAACAGAGCTTAAACGTGTTTTTCAGTTTCAGATTTCTATCTTCTGTGATTAACAAGTTATGAGGCTTTAAAGATGCCAAAAAATCATTTGAAAACACCAAATTGAATCCACCTCAGGTACGCTGAGGCCTGAAGCTCTGAAAGTTTTTACAGTATGAAGATGAAATGCCTCAAGTTAATGTTTTATATATTATTGTGTTTATTTATTAAAGTTATATAAAGAATAATCCACAGATTCTGAAAGAGTCACCTGGGAAATATTTTCACATTTGGTTATTTTATATAAAAGAACCAAAAAGCATAATTATTTCTAAAAGCTGGAATATCTCTGTGGGCAGGAGCTTCGAGCACCGCAGCCAAATCCGGCCTCCCAGAGTCTCCCTGGATAAGCTTTCCCGCCCCCCCGCTCTTTGTGCTCTTATGTGCTGCTATTGGTTGGTACGATCCGTGACACAGGAGTACTGGTTATCACTGAAAACACTTGTACTGTGAAATTTATGACTATAAAATACTTTGTAAATGTTGCTAGAAAATTAGAAGATATAATGTGGAATCCTGTGGAAAAAGAAAGTTTTGTTTTTTTCGATTTTAGGAACACTAAACCTAAAATATAAATTATTCAAATTTCTCTTTCCCAGGACTTTTTTCTCACAAATGAACCAAACAGTCGTCAATGCTGTAACGATGTTAAAGAGGCTCATTAGGAGATCATTTGGGGACGATTCTGCTCTTTTCCAGTCCCATAATTGAATTCTTCAACACCAGCAGCTGTGTGTGAGTCACAGCGTTAGCAAAAACAAAGACAGCTGAGAAGTCACTGAAGAAATCCTAACCGTGAGCCCTTCCACCTTCAGGTTCACACCTATCTGTGGTGCTCTGACGACGCCTCTTCAGACTCTACTGTCGCACTAACACTGGCTCTAATAGGCTCTTAACAGCTGGCAGACAACAGCAGCTTCCCAGAGGGAGCCAAGGGGATGAAAAGAAGCACAGTAACAGTGCCAAGCTGAGCCGAGCCGAGCCAAAACTGTGCCGAGTCTCGGGGAAAAAAGCTGTGCTATGTGGTGAGTTTTAGTCATGCAGAGTGGCACCTAATCCTGCGGCTCCCTCTCCTAACAGCAGACAGGTTGTTGAGCTTTTTAAAGCCTGATATCTGTTGAATATTCCAAACAGAAACTGTCATTAAATTTAATACATGAGGTCTAATTAATCTTTGACTGCCATCTGGTTATTACTTTCTGCGCCACGCTGAATCTGAAATCTGTTTCTTTTTCACACACAGTCAGTATCAGCTCATCAGGGCCGCATTGTTCTGTTCACTTTAGCTCCGCTGCTCGTCGCGTCGAGGGTTTGCTTACACACGAGCTTCTCATTAACCGACACCGAGAACGGGATCATCCCAGACGAGTCTGAGTTAAAGTGCCGCTGTTATTCTCAATAAAGGGGAAAATACTCTGATTCAATAGAATGCAGTTGGTGTCTGTAATCCCTGCAGGCCAAAGCACTCCGGTTTCATAGTATTGGATCTGTATGATGTCATGAGGGGCCAATTAGAAAAATACTGTAACTGTCTTGTTATAGCAGTGGTATGGTTTCTAATCACTAATATGGTAGCAGTGGTTAGAGGGTTGGTGTGTACTGATACAGCAGCTTGGCCTTCAAGCCTGCTCACATCAAATGTTATATACAAAAACATGACATTGGTCCTTGTTGAGTTTTTAATGTCTCTTAGAATCATTGAGTTTCCTTTTTAGACTCCTCCAGGGCCGAAATTTTCCAAAATGAAAAATATGCACATATTGAACAAAATGATTTCCTGTTAGAGCTGGAGTACCATCTGGAAAACTCCAGAGCTGTGTTTGAATTGGATTAGACTATCTACTGGTGTTTTGTTTCTGTGGCACAACTTCTGATATTTCACATCCATTCATCCTCTTCCACTTATTCTTGTCAAGTTCATGGTGCTGGAGAATATTTGATATATGAATCTATGGTTTCAACGCAACCATTCTTTAGCTTTAGACAGTCGAGCTGGAGGCTCATGTTGATTTCAGATGGAATGCCTCAACATAAAACTGTTATCATTTTCCACAGGTGATTAGAGGAAGAAGCTAAAATCATCCAACATTCAAGTTTGTTTCTGCCCTTAAATAACACTTACATGAAACTATTAATTAAATTTAGACTGACCAGTGGATAAAAACAAACTGAAACCACCGGCTTTTAGTTGGGTTCAGCTTCACTGTAAAGGCAGGCTTACAGAAAAAAAATAAATCGGGGATTTTCCCCAAATAATTGAAGATGGTGAAGAGCGAGGGTGAAACCAAAAGAGCTTGGAGACTTGGGGAAAGCTCCAAGGCAATATTGAGTTGGCTGTATTTCCACAAGATCAGGAAGAAACATTACCTGCCCAGTTATTAGTGCTGCCACTCAGCAGCTATTTGAGAAGTTATTTACAAGAACTTTTTTATTATATGAATGGAGAGGGAACCATCCATCCATGCACTTTCCGAACTGTTCATCCAGTTTAGGGTTGCTGGAGGGCTAGAGCCTCTCCCAGGTACCACAGGGTGGGAGGAGTTTTTGTACTTAACAAAACAAATTATCTACTAAAAATAAAAATACAGAAATTATAATAATAGCTATACAATCAGCATTTCTGACTTCTCACACCAGAACGCTGATAAAATTTCATGCTAATTCACAATATCATTACTGTAGGCCCTCAGAAGTATCAGGCAGTAATTCTCATGCAGACAGAGTGGAGGCCACTGGTTTGGTTTCAGTGTTTTACCAGGTTGAGGATGTAGTTGAGGCGTTTCAGCTCGCAGTCGATGATGATCTGGAAGTCCTTCTTGTAGTCGAGGTCAGCCAGCAGCTTGATGAAGGCCGGCTCTGTGAGACTGTCCAGGTTAACCGAGGTGACCTGCCAACTTCGTTCTGCCGCCGTGTCCAGGATCCTCTGCAACACTGCCAAACCTGAGGGAGAGCAAGGTAAGACGGGAGCCGCCTCAGCTGCATTTAGTCATAGACAAGATGACATGATTTAAATTTGGATAATCTAATTTTTTTAATAAAATCTGTATTCATTATAAGCTTTATTAAGCTTAACTTAACATCAGCATCCAATAGCTACACCTGACACAGTCCCAGTGACTGATCAGGTGGACTCAAGTAACCCCCATCATCATCTAGTATTCATTTAAACTTCTTTAAACTGGATCTTGGTTACTTTCAGTTTACCATTTACTTTGATCAGTTTATCAGCTTACCAACAATCAGCTATGGTCAGCAATCGTATCTAATCATTCATCTATAACAGCTGGCTTATTAATCCAACCATGAAGCCACTGTTTTTAACTTCTACTTCCTTTAACAGCTATTCACTGTTACACGACCAACATTAAAACTAGAACGGACACAGGAAGTCATTTTGAGTTGATCCTGTTTAACTGACAGCTTTTCATCATTTAATATTGTTTGTACCTAACAGATTTATTTTGGGATTTTTTTCATGCCCATCTGTGCTTCATCACTTTCACTTGCTAAGCTATATTTTAAGTTTCAGAATAACCATTTTGTGCTGCTAAATATTCCAGTAAGAATAAGTCATTTTTATTTCAGCTCTATATTATAGTTTATCAAATAGATATGGTTATCTGCAACGTTAACTAAAATTATTACTTACTGCAATATTTTTAGCCAATGGTTTCCAATATTTTATTCCTATTTATAGAAGCTCCTTGAACTGTTCCTGTATTATAACATTTTTAGCTGTTTTAACTATTTTGTTTCTCAGCTATCTAAGCTACATAGCAATCCAACCATTGTTCAGCACAGCGGGAGGGGGGGGTATAATTTCTCCTACTCCATGACTTTTAACTTTTAACTAACTTAACTTTTCTGCTAAACCTGTTCAGGTTCATTAACTTAGTGAAAGTTTCAGTGTTTCTCAGATTGGTTAGGCTAATCTTTTGCATACTCCGTGACTACTGTACAAGTGACTCTTGGGCTATTTACTGCCGATTGGGAATCACCAAATCCGGGGTTTTCACAAGGCAGAAATTGTTTTGACCATCAAACTGATTTTCAGCTTCACAACTTGCAGACCTGCAACCTGAAAAGTAGACGAGTAACAGACGTTTGAGGTAGTGATTAAGATCAGCGGACTCATTGAAAACTGTCTCTGACTTTTACAACTTTAAGTCAGAGCAAGACAATAAAACTTATTTTTCATTAGCACATTGTATGTCGTAATTATGACTAAGAAGTTTTTTACTTTTTTTTGAGAGCCAGGTCTCAAAAACAAAACTTATAATGAGAAATATTATGAGAAAAGCTTGAGCGAGTGGGAGATATAATCGCTGAGTCACTTGTTTGAAATGTTATCAGCTCATTGAATGAGCCTCATTATTTGTTATCTATCCCATATGTTTAGCTGCTGGTAGGCAGTTATCACTGAATTACAACGGTGACCCAGCTAAAAGGAAGTACAGAGTGTTTCCAGATTCAGACTGCATCAAAAGTCCACATTAACTCGAATCTCAATCAAGTATGATTATTCTGAAGAGGATTTGTTGAGTATGTTTTCATGTTGATATGAGATACAGTGTTTATGACCTTCAGAATAATTGTCCTACGTTGAATACAATATATTTGTGTAAACCTGCAGCAGTCCAACAGTTTACCCGGAGAGTCTGACTCTGAAACTCATCCCAGCTGTATTATAGAGTGACCTTTCTCTTTACTTAGAAATGATCTCTGCTTCCTTTGATCTTTGTTGGCAGATATCTTTTCTCCAGCTCTTGTTGCCATTTGTCAGCCTGACGGATTACTTTTCAAAGACACTTTGCTCCAAACTGCCGAATGAATGCAGAGATAAGTTTTCATGTCAGCTGCTGAGGACTGGATTTGAAGAGGCAGTGGCTCCTCTGACTGAATGTCAAACTGTTTTGTAGTTTTGTTTTGTTTTTTTTGTTTTTTTTTGGGGGGGGGG